CCCCTCCCGGGCTCCAGCTGCCCTGGGGAAGCGCCGGCTGGGGGCGCAGGGTCTGGGGGCTGCCTGGCAAACCCTGAAGCCGGTAGCGCTGGGGCAGCCCTTTCCCCGTGGCTGGGAGTGGGAGGGAGGAGGGGGTGGAGTTAGGGCGGGACTAGGGGTGGGGAAATGGGTGGGGCCAGGGCCCGTGGAGGGTCCTCTTTTTTTATTTATTAGATATGGTAACCCTACTTTCTAACCCTGCTTCATCTCATTCTCCCCCACCTCCTTTCCTAGATTGTCTTTACTCCTCATGTTTGCTTTCATAACTGAACATTTTCACAAGGATCTAACTAGCACTAACACTTAGAATACAAAAATATCTAGTCTGAGCAAGGGAGTGATGCCGAAGTTTTGCTTTTGCACCATTGTCACTGAGGGAAATATAATCGTACCCACAGGAACACCTGCCCCAAAGGTCCAATAAACAACCATCTCAGTTTCCGGGGTGGGATTAGAGTCCATAATTTGTTGGTGGTGTTTTGCTCTGCCGTGCAGAATGACACAAGAATCTGAGTGCTTGAGAGTCTTTTTGCCGGTGATAGCTGGCTTCACAGATTTCCTCTGTAAATCTGATACTCGAGTTTATGTCTTCTGTGGTAAAACAGAATGATGCTGGTTAACAAGACCAAGAACATTTTCTCTTTCTGTTGTCATTGGACATTTTTTTCGGGGACTGTTTTTTAATAAGAGTCTGGATTCAAACATTTAACTAGGTATTTGGTCCTCACATTGTCTCCTTCATCAGTTTCACAACACTACTCCTATGGGGTCATGGGTTCAACTTCACTAGATTAACACACCTAAATCTGGGGGAAGGGATACATTGTTTCCTCTGTGCGAGTTGAGCCTGTGATGTCTTTCTTTGGTGGCACAGCCTCCTTGCTATTCTGGATAGCATAGGCACTACTATAGGGAAAGTAATTTTAATGATGCTCCCAGCTTGGGGAACCAGGATGGATGTGTGTGGTAGCTACTGTGTTACAATGTTTCTTCTGAGCTTTGGAAAAGGAAAGACATAGGTTATTTAAAGTTCCTACTTGGATGATTTTGTTTTAAAGAATATATATTTATATTTACTTCATTTCAAACCAAGTGTTCTCATCTTTCCTCTCTCTCTGATAGGGGGCTCCTGGAATGGCTGTTGCAGGGATGAAGGTCAGTTTTACATTAAAATGCAGCCTCTTAGGACAGGTCATGGATAATAAAGAGGACAAGGGCCATGAGAGGAGATGAAACCTCCAGCCTTAGACTGATGGCCATTAGTTCATGGTAGGAAAGCCATGGATTAAAAGAAAATGGAGACATACATTCATTCTCCTGCCAATTCAGAAAGGGGAAAACTCAAGCTAAGGCAGATATAGAAAATGGCTATCCCTTTTATCGGGGAGAGGCTAGGGCCTGTCTATGTTATAGCTAAATGCTAACTCCAGTGGGAGAATGACTGATCCCTTCCCTGGTCAGCTAAACTATACTTGTTCCAACCCTAAGACTGTAAGAAGATTTCGGTTTTCTTAGTCCCTCAGTTCACTTTCTGTGAGACAATGGTCCTCTCTTGGTTTCAGCTCCTCTCAAACCCCATTCTTAACAGTACTTGAACCTCCCTATTTCCATAGCTTCCGTTTATTTCCTAATAAACAAAATTATTATTATTATTATATCCCACCTTTTCAACCAATATCTCTGTTTCTCCACTGCATTGGAACCAGATATATTTCTGCATATATGCTCAGTGCTCAGATTTCACGGTGACAGGCAACCTTATAAAAACCTAGAAAGATAGGTATAGCCAGATTAGCCGGCTTGAAACAGCCCAGATGAGTTCCAAAACCCATTGACCGATACCAAGGAACAATGGAATGCTCTATCCATGGGCCTAACTTCAGCAGCCTATGAAAAACCTTGGAAGCAACAAGCACTGTCCTCGACTGCTGGTGAAGGCTCTCTCTCCCACTCCCCTTGGCTGGTATAACTGTGTCACCACCAAGATTCCATGACTGTCCAAGGCCTAGCACAACAGGGCACCAATTGTGATTAGTGCTTCTGGATGCTACCGTAATACAAATAATTAGTAATAACAATAGCCGCAGAATCCCCTAGAGCCAGTGACAGCTGTACAAGTTGTAGCTCAGGAACAACGTGACTCACCACTAGAAGCTTTCTGAAATTGTGAGAGATCTGGTGGGACTATTCCACACTTCTTGCTAGGACCCCGGGACATACCCTTTAAACAGGCAGGTCTGGGAAACCATTTCTTAGGAAACAACTCAAAATGGTCACTTACCTCCCTTTTATTAATGGCATTTTCAGCCTATGGGCTGTACCATATGTCTTCAAAATTAGGATAAAAACAACAATATCCATGTACAAGAATAACCATGAGAAAAGAAAAACCAAGTCTGTAGTATGCCTTTAAATTTGACCTTATACCCTTATTTCCACAAATCTAAATTCAAATTGAAATCAAACTAAAGCACAGCTTTGACTTGATGCCTTCTTAAATGATCCTTCTCTTTTTTTAATCTAGAAGTGGGTTGGCTGTCCCCTCTCTTCTCTTTCTTTCTCACTGTGTATTTTTCCATCTTTTCCCCATGCAGGGCAAGCCAGGAAATCCACGAGAAAAATATTGCTTTTAAAGGAATAATCATTGGAAATCTGCATTTCCTGGATTTTGTTTACAGGAGCTTATAATTATAAGGAGTTTCCTGGTGTCCTCTGTAAAATGCCATCTCTGCTTCAGAAAAACAGAGTTGCATTTCTCCCTAACAGAAGAGAGACATGTCTGAGAGAGATTTCCATATTGTAATTAGACTATCTTCTGTCCCCTTCCCTCCCTAGTCACTCAGTGCTCGTGTCTGGGGGGGATATTCCCCTGCTATTCTCTTTCTTTTCTTCTTTGGCTCTTAGGCCATATGACAACCTGCTATTCCTGGAGAGTATATTCTCTCCCTGTTCCCCTTGGCTGCCTCTCCCCACCAGCACTTGTGCCTCCTTCCAGGGACATGCTAGTGCTGCAGAGGGAACTGCTGGGGACGCACTCCTGCACTTCTGGCAGATGCTGTATAAATTGGTCCGATGTTTCATGCCCCCTCCTATCAATATGTGTAAAATAGTAAAAATGGTACAAAAATACCCCTGAATTTCTTTCACTTGGCAGCAAATTCAGACAACTGAGCAACTGGCTCCTCTTGTTTTAGCTTTGACTAGGTTTGTAGTGTTATATTGTAGAGTGTGGAGACCACCAGCCATATAACAGATGTATTCTCTGTCTCTTTTCTTACCAACAAGGGAGAACCTGGAGTTGCAGGGATGATGGGCCCCCCAGGTTTGCCAGGGAAAAGGGGACAGAGGGTAGGACAATGTGTGTTTGGATGTGATTTCTTAGCACTGCTGTACTGGCCTGCTCCTCCCCTATAGCCAAGGCTAAAGTGGGACTGCTTTGCATATAGTTCCATGCTTGTGGTGGAATGATCTTACACCATTGCCGATGCTCTCATCTCATTGATGAAGTGTGCTTTGTATGTTTCTCCTTGCAAAAAACAGAAAGACCAACCCAAAGGGAGAATGAGTGCGTTCTGGGAAGGGAATGAAGTACTGAGCATTAACATTCTCTTGAGAAAGATTTTGTAGCTTTTGATTACAGCAATAATAAATGATGGGGAATCTGAATACCCAGAATCAGGAAGGATGTCTTAATGAACATGTATGCACCTCAGAATGTTCTCTGTAAGTTCCTCTGTCTGGGTCCTCCTCTCACTACAGCACATGAATGCTGATTCTGATTCTTGGAGTACAATGAAAAGCAGATATGCTGAACACATAACAGGAGCAGAGTGCTGGAGTCAGAGGAGTCTTGGGCACTGGATTATTCAGGAGAGAGTGTTATTTTGATTATCCTGAAAAGGAAATAAAATCCTTACATCCAATTAGTATTCCTTCTGCCAAAGAAGCATAAAAGCCCCTTGCTACCCAAACAAATGCAATTATTTAACAAGACCAACTGCCTGATTTTGTGGGTAATGAATATATCCAGATGGACCAAGGCCCACCTTCTGTTGTACAGATGCCAAATGAATTGCAGGTAGAAATCAGAGCATCTGCACTTCTAAACACCTGCTTTGTGATTGCAGTCTGGTAAGTATTAGTGGAAGTACCCCATTTGCACTCACGACTGAATTAGGAGTACAAATTTTGCAGGTGCAAATCATGCCCATGAAAAGGATTGAAAATGTGTCCCTTAAATAGGAAGGGACCGAGAGTATGTTCATTCCTCTTTGAATTGGGGTGTTACCCATGGCTGTTTCTAATGAGCATTCCGTTTTTTTAAATTATTGACTTCTGTTGTCTGCTCTTTAGGTTCTTTTTCACCACACGGTATAATGTGTCTGCATCCATAAGAGCAGCTTCCTTTTACTGGGGTGTTCCACTTTGACTCAGTGGATTAATATGAACAGTGACATGGCTGGAGATCATAATATTCTGACATCCTAGAGATGGCCAATAATTTAAACTTTTCCTTAGGAAACAAAATCCAGCACATTGGGCCCTTCTCGCTTTTCCAAGGAGAAAATCATTAGCTTGTGGTTGCAAGGTACATGTTCTAACAAGGATGAAAGGCTACAGAGCACTTATACTAAGCCGGAGGTCAGAGAGTCTTGTAAAATGGGTAACTGTGCTGTCTTAGGTGGGATGCAGAGTTGGCTAGAACAAGGATAGTTTTCTTTTAATTAATTCCTGTAGAGCCATATAGTGCATGCCCCTTCTCAGAACACTTTTGCAGGTACCTTGCATGTTAGATGTCAGTCTTTGAACTCTGTTGAAATTCATATACTTGTCTTTCTATAAGATTAAAATATATCAGCCATGCATGCAAGGAAAAATAAATTCCTTATCTCTAATTTTTCTTTCGATTTTGTTGTTGTAATAGAGCCATGCTTGTAGGCTAAAGTCCTGTATAAATACTTTGAAAGGGTCTATAGACCAAACTTCTGAGTTAACCCACCTTAAAAGAGATTCCATGTACCTGTATGCTATTGAGAAATACAGTCAAGTAACTGTTCGTGTGTGAGTTACTCTTTGACAAATTAAAGAGTTTAAATAAATCTAAAACCAAGTATTATCCAATGCTATTGGGGAAAAAGGTTAGGGAAATGGGGACTAATCATAGTAAAAAACATAGTAAAAAAATCATAGGCATCATCATCATCTATAAAAATTACTAACTTTGGTGAACTAACAATTGGAAAGAAAATACCTTTTCTTTAGTGGTAAGTGTTATTGTACTAGAGACATTCTCTAGAGACTAAAATGATTGTAAACTACAGCAACCAAAACCCTGTCAGCTGTTTAAATAGCGCCTGTTGTACAAGCAGCTCATCACGTATGGAAATGCTGGAGATAAGGGTTTGGTTTACAGTTTGCATCCTGTGGACAGATTATTACAGGATCTTAATCAGAACTTAAAAGGCAGTAAGTGAGCCAATTGTGGCACAAAAATTCAAAGAGATGTGCCTTGTACCGGTGGCTTCAGGCACACAAAAGATATGACTGCAAGCTAAACAAAGTCACTTCACAAAAACAGCCATGGGGTGGTCTGTGTCTGTCCTTTACTCATTTCAGTGTGGAATTTATCCAGAATCTGATTATACCTCTCACAACTCAGTTCAGTCAGACTACTCCTCTTGCTGGGGTCTTGACAGCTTAGGGGTCACGACAAGGATGGCCTGTCTAGTCCTCTTCTGACCTTGTAATTTTCCCTCTGACAATTGACACCAGCCACGGAGTTACCCCAATAGCATCTTGTGTGAAAATGTCTCTCTTACTTGATTCCATGCGACCATTTGTATCTTGCATTCACTTTCAAACATTCATTTGCTGCATGAAAGGGACTAGCAACAACTCATGTGTTCTACAGAAGGAGCATGTGTGAATTAACAACACCAAGCACTGCCCATCTGCAATGAGTTTGTTGAGTTTTGGCTGTTAGAACAAGGAGGACAATACATAATCAAAGTGCAGTTTTTAAAGTTCAAAATGACCTTTAACTTAGTAGGGGACCATTGTACAGTGGCCTTTAAATGCTAAAAGTTTCATAGAAAGGGTCAGACAGTAGCACGTACTGGCTTTCTAAAACATAAGGTGAAAAGATGTCAGAGATAAGAGAAAATGATGACACAGTTGAGCAGGTACTGAAGGCAGGGAGAAAACCTTGGCTGCCTCTTAAAAGGGTGTCCCAGAGGGAAAAGAAGAGTTTTAGGAATGTTTGCTGTATTGTATCAGATGAGCTCTATGGATTCAGTAGCACTTTCACTGATCCCACAAGTAATGGAAGCCCTTAAAGCCACCCCCTGACCATTTCTGTCTTTCACCAACAGGGGGAGAAGGGAAGAGCTGGTGATCCCGGACTTCCTGGATTCCTAGGACAGAAGGTTTGTAATGTTCTCTGACTTTTGCCACACTTTTCATCCCATTTTCCTTCCCCTAACAAAGAAGCTTGCACTCACGTGTACACAACTACCTAAACTGTATGCACATGTGCTTGCATACACGCTTACACAGATATATGCACACACACAAAAATACACTGAATACTATCCTAGAGATGAGAGAGGGGCAGGCTCTGCAGATAATATGAACCTGATTCCATGGCCAGTTCCATGTCGACAGGAAGAACACAGCACATTTCTCACCCTACCTTTATGGTACCCCCCTCTTCAATCCCTGCAAGCTGGCAGTTTCAAGGCCAGTCTCAAGAGCAGCTGGATCCAATTTGATTTAGATTAATAGCGTTATTTTCATTTTGTTATGTAGCTTTTTAAAAAAATACCCAGCTACCTAGCGTGAAAATTTGATTTATTTCAACCCAAACAAAACACTGGGATCCAACCGGAAATAAAACATTTCGGGTCAAACATATTGCTGGTCTAACTGGGTGCAACTCCATTGATGGCACTGGAGACACAGCTGCCTGTGACAGTGATAAATTTGGTCTACAGAAACGGAGGAATGAGTGGTTTAGGGGATTGACAGGAGAATACAAATCCTTTTATCTTTAGGATACTGGATCACAAATCGAGTCCAGATCGGTGACGAATAAAATGCTCCTTACCATCCAATGGCTATTTGATGCTGTATATAAAACAAGAGGGTGGTTTCTGTACAGCCCCCAGTGCATGTCACACACACGCCCCCAAATGCAATTACAACTGGCACTAACTCTTCAGCAGAGAGCCAACGGACTGAATGGGCCGACCTATTGCACTATTAGAATGGCCATTATAGAAACACAGTGGCAGAGCAATGTGGGGAAGCCTGTGCTAGTACTGCCAATGCTGTATCTGTTTTGTGACTACAGAAAGGATTTCAGT